GCATCATTAATTTTAACTAATAACTAATTTTACTTAATGTGCTAGCAAAAATGGCACATCCATGACACATCTATGTTTACTGCCCAAGTTAATACAGCACTTGAAATATTATTAGTTTGTATGCCTCACTGCTAATTATTCTGTTAATACAATGAATTACCTACCGAACTCACTCCTAACATTTCCTGCTAATTAAGTAAAAGCAAGACCAACAGTATCATTCAAAGCTCCAGGAATTTGGTGAGCTCAGCTGCAAAATGATTTTGGAATGTTTCTACTAATCTACTTTAAACACAGAAATGTGAACAATGAAATTGATGGCAGCTGCAACAAGAAAACCTGCCAATTCTTCTTGTCTTTGACGAGCCAATTTTCATAAAACTTTCATCAACATCTTTCACTTTTTATCTGCATCCCTTAAAAATTTTACCTTTTTAGTATGTGGATTTCAGCAATGAGTTCATGGCATGAGCATCTCCATACAGATAACTCTTCCTACAACTTCCATTAAGCAATCCTCCATCTTGAACAGCCAAAGCCTCACACAAAGTTCAGCGAAAAAGTAAGTCCTTTACAGAGGAAACACTTTTCCCCAGCTTTTAAAGATACAGGAATTTTTTTCTTGCATTTAAAATCTGCAGAATAAAAAACTGCAGCTAGTTATTTAGTGAACATAAAGCACTGAAAGGTAAAAAATTCTTTACATACAATCATCTGCAATCTGCCTTACTAATGTCTTCAAAAACATTAGCAATGTCAGAATCAGCGATATTTAAAGATCCTGGTTTCAGCTCTGGTTTCTCAGAATCCTGTAACCAAATCATATTTTAGCTTACCTAAAGAGCCTTGTCTAGTCATTGGGCAACAACACAAAAACATTAACTCATGGATCTTTATGAGAAGACCATGCTCTTCATAGAAATCAGAATCAAGCAAGATTATGGCAAAAAATAAGAAGAGACTTTGACAATATTTGCAAAAAAGCTAAAGGAAAACTAGCAGTAGTTTTAGTAGTAAAAGGCCTGTGGTTCTGAGAACACAACTTTAATGTACTCATGTCAGCTGGTGTTAAAAACATCAGAAACTTACACATGTAACATAAAAAAAGAACTCCTTAAGCTTAGATATTTGCTGGTCTTGTAATTTACAATATGTTCTCCCTTGCTACAAATTCTAATCTAGTGGATGGGATCCTTCCCTTAGTGTTTAAAGAATAATATTCTGCCATACTGTCCGGCCCAGTTCAGGAACAAAAATAAATCATGTATATTTAAATATAAACACTTAACTGAAATGAAATTTCTCAACAATGACAGTAACCAAATTTGTCCAAAACAGGGTTCAGAATTAAGAGGTAAAAGTCATCTTAATCCAAGTCTAGATTTCTGCTCTTTTAGTCTTAAGACTGTTCTTCCACAAAGACATAGAAAGTACCTAAAACAGTTACTGCACCTGTAGTGACTGCTAATGGAACACACTGTCACCTACCCAGTCTGGAGGATGGATACAGACGACAAAACTGTTTAGAAAATGCCCAAGGATCAGGCCATGTATTTTGACCATGTCCAAGATGCTAGCCTTTTTTAGAGAATTACCAGTGGTTCAAATCATCAGTAAGAATCCAAATCAAACATTTGTTCACCAACTTCACAAGTTTCTTTCAGAAAAAAAAATAGGAAAAGATTCATCTGCAAGACTCCCTATAGGGCAGACAAACCATTCCTCTTTCATGCCTTTCACTAGACAGAAGATGAGAGCAAGAGCATTCATAAAAGCACTGAAGTACTACAGTATTCTTACTGAATGGCAGCTGAATAAAATAAATTAAAAAAAAAACAAAAAACCCAAAAACAAACAACAACCCACTGGAGGAATTGTTGCCATGATAAAAAGGTAGGATGTTCATTTTTAAAAAAACATCTTCAGTCTCACCCATAATGACACAGCCCTCAGTTCCTCCAAAACCAATTCCCTTCCAAGAAAAGGTCGGTTTTTTTGACAACTTAGGCATTTTGATTTAGGTTAATATTTCTACAGCAGAGAAAGAGATGAGGCTGTAATTGACAAGATTTTGTTCAAAGTTTAGGCCTGCTAAGGCACTGCTATTGATAACTAGTTTTTTGACTGTGTACACTTTCACCAATAAAAGGCTCAGAGGATTACAAAGACAAACCATATCTTGCTTCTGTTCTCCTAGTCATCTACTTAAAAAAAATCACAGAAACAGATATTGGAAATATCACAGTCAAAACCGGAATAGGTTTCTATATTCTTCAGAAAACAATGGTCAACTCTCATAGGAGTACCATGACACTTCCCAACCCTAAGAATGAAAGGGCAAGAACAAGTATTAGTTTTACACAGGCAAATATCTACAACATGTCTCATTTACAAGGGACTTAATAAATGATCACAGGGTCCCTGAAATCCTAGAAAATTTGGGAAAGATTCATCACGTTGGCTACAGCAAAAAAATTTGTTCAATTGACTAAAGTTTTAAATTCTTCTGAAGATATAAAGTAATAGCAGAACTGAAGCAAAAGGAAGACATCCATTCAGACAGAAAGAACACTTGAATTCATTTGGCTTCAGGAGATGGTTACAGAAAAATTAACACACAGGTTTCAATTTCACATGTAACTATTTCTGAGTTTACAATCTGACCTTGTAAACTGTGCAAGTCTGGAAAAAGTACTTCCTGGTTCACAGTAAACAAGACAGCCATGGGAGGATATATTCAGAAGCTGAACAGAGGACTTAGCCTATTCTATAGGGTTTTTTGTGCTACTTTAAAAAGGCAAGCAGAATGAAGTTTGAATACAATACCAAGAAAAAATAGAACACCCAAACAAACTAGCCCCCTTTTTACAGACTGCTACAGAGAATGACTTGAATTACAGCACTGCATTCAGAGTGTGGGATTTGTTTGTTTGGGATTATTTTTCCAACAACCTTCTTTACATATCACAGAATTCATGTGAAACTTGTAATAACAGGCATCTGATACTACAGGAGCCAGACCACTACTCTGACCACTGCTGCTAATGAGATTATTTCTTGAGTTATGGTTATGGATGCCAAAAAAAATACAGAGAAACCTCACCCACACCAAAAAAACTCCCACACACAACAAAGAAATTCCCAAGAATAAAACCCAAACCCTTAATCACCTTAAACAGGGTGGAAGTAAGAACAAAATGGGAAGCAACTTATCTGTTAAACACATCAAACTTCTATCCCATACATCAGCCTAATGGAATCAAAACATGCTTTTCCATTCTCAGCATATTTAAGGAAGAATTTCTATATAGGGGCTGCTTAGACAAGCTTCCATACTTCTTCTTCCAAAATCTCAAAGTTATAATTCTTATTTCAATTTTTTTTACTTTACCTCTTTTTTCCTTTGGTAAAATAATTTACATTTTATTTCCTGGAACTAAAAGGTTATCTAAAAATATATGGAAAATTTGGCAATATTTATGTCTTGGTCCTGTCACACTGTCCACTGCTGACACCCAAACCCTCCTACACACAATTCCTTTCCATAGTAGTTTATTGTTTAAGTAAAGCAAACTGATGAAGCACTAATTAATACCCAGGACAGAAAAGAACATCAAGAAAATGAAAACAAGAAGGACCTCATTCAGAACCAGAAGGAAGTAAGAAAAACAGGGAAGAGAGATAAATGTTCTGGGGCTCCAAAATGGCAATGGCTACACTGCATTTCTGACTTATTCTGAAGTACGAGCACCTCTTCTCCTTTGGTTACAGAACTGCCAGTGGAAGTGGTTTTTCTTCTGTTGCCACACTGCTCTACTCAACTATGTCTACAAGTGTGCAATCACATGACTGATCAGTAAGCTGCTCCAAGGAAAAACTACCTGATTTTATTAGAAGAATTTAATACTGCATTAACTTATTCTGCAAGTCTATGAGCACTCCAACAGAAGAGTGTAGCAGAAACACGTGCATTTGGAGTTTTTCCTGCTTGTGCTAAAGAAGTAGGATGAGAAAGCACAGAGCTACCCATTCTGACAAGAGCTGTCACCACAGCACCCTAATAGTAACATGAAACTGCACCCTGAATCCCAACCTCTTACTAATAAATTAAAATGGAAAGAGTCTGCTATTAATATCAGTGATTATACTGCTGACCCCATGAATACAGAAAATCAGGCACAGTAGAACAGTGAAGCAGGCAACTGACTGGAAAGTGCAGCAACCTCTGATGCCATGAATTAACTAACCCCTCCACATCTCTAAGGCAAGAGGAAAAAAAAAGAGAAAATCCACAAAAAAATTAATAGCACAGTAGAAAAAGAAAAAAGAGAAAAAGCAAGACCTCTGAAATGAGCTTTCCAAGGGAACTCAATGTACAGTCAACATACAGAAGCATCAACTGCAACAGAAGGTATTTTAGTGTGTGCCAATTAATGAAAAAACCTTTCTTTCTATCTAACAACACCAGAAAACTGATTCAAGAACAGCCACAGTCACTTTGCTCTGATATTCTACCACTGCAATCTCAAACTGAAAGAGCAAAGTGAAGCTTGCTGCTTTAGCAGTGAACCAGAACTCTCTCTTCCTGAATGCACACTGTATTATGAAACTGGCACAGTGGTGCTCCCTGTAATGCCCAGACTTGCAGATGACCAAGTGTAAAGAAGTTGATGTCCCACAGGAACTAGGCTGTTTACCTTTGCCTGGCAGCTGAGATTCCTTACTTCAAAGGTAGCTGTACAAGACAACTGTGATTTTTCATCCCATCACCCACCAACAATTTTGTGTGCAGACATCTGAAAGTTGCCTGTTGATTGTGGGATTATTCTTCTCAGACACCCAAGGTTTGTAGGAAATACAAAGTCACTATATTCTAATACAAGCCAACAGTTTATCCCTCTATAGCACAACGGATTCTTGTTTCGGTGTTCTCCCCTTGTAAACAGGAAATGAGTCCAAGTATAAATTATAGATTTCTCCTTTGAAAGGGCATCACTTACCAGTAACTACCATGCTGCTCATGTTAGAGTTCGGGCTACTGAGTACACTGCCTGAAAGAAGTTCGTCAGATCCTCTCTAAAAAGAAAGAGACAGTAAGAGATTTTTTTTTCCTCTATTTTGTGATTTTTAAAGATGATACTTCCTCTTTTCAGATAAGTGCAACAATTTGAAATCTAAGTAAAGCGGAATATTTACATGGCAATCTGAAATGAGAGCAGCTTAAGCACAGTTGTTTAACCCACCACTGAAATAAAGCCACCTCTGGACACAATGAGAACTGCTGAACAATAATTTTGTCCAGCATTTCAAATTAAAATATAATTAAATAAATTTATTCTACTTCAATAACATTTAAATTAATTTAAGTTTTAATATTTTTATACACATATATATTAAACTATTATATCTAGCTGAAACTACAAGGGAAATCTATGCAAAGAGAAATATGGAGTTTAGCTCAATTTTAACACCCCTATTTAAAACCAAAGATTTAATTATCACAGGAAATGAAATCGGTTTTCATTTTGGGGACATTCAGTTTTTCTGCAAAACATAACTTAGGGCAGGGAATTACATCTTCATTGTAGTTCTTAAAACATGGCAAATATAAATTAATGAATGACTTAAAAGTGGGCTGCAAAAATCAGGAGGATTTATAGTAAAACCATACAAGATAACCCTTTCCACAAGTAGTGATGGGCATTTGACGCAGCTGAAGAGGCACCACTTTTCACACCTTGTTGTTTCTTTTTTCTTTTATGCCCCAACCCTCTTCACCCTCAAGACTTCATCCCTCAAAATGCCTACAAAATCTTTATGTGATCTTTCAATAAACAAAATATTTAAACCACCCTTTGAATATTATCTTTAATTTCTTACAGGTTCTTTTCTACTTCAGAAGTATTTCTTCAGCACCCTTAAGACTAATCCAGGTCACTGCTAAAATGGTAATGAGGAAAAAAAAAACAGTTTCTACCCATCCTTATTAAAATAAATGGGTTTAATTCTGTTGTGGACATTACAAGAAAATCACGAATACTTAACGAATATGTTTTACAGGACACTTCAGTACTTAATAATAAATTCATCTGAGACTATTACCTCCACAGAGAGCACAGTTGAAAGACTTATAAAAATCAAACCGTTACCTTTTTCTCATACTGCACTGTATTTGTGTCCACACAGAGAACAGGATGTTAAAGTTTGTATATGTGTACACACATATAGAGCCATTAAAGTTTACTTGGTTTTCAGCATCAGCTCTGAAGAATCTCTATACAGTTCACTGAATGCTCTAAGCTTGTACAGGTGCATAGCAAGCTGCAAAGCTGTGCCTATCAAATGAGCAAGTTTCCTTAAGATTGCATCATACCTAATACCAAGATCAGACAGAACCATGAGAGGGACTATGTCTTGTCCATTTCAATGTAAGGATGCATTTCTAATCAGATATAACTAAAAAAAAAATTAGCTAGATAGAACTGAGAAGCAACTTACAGATAAAATATAGAAATTCTGTTTTTCTAACTACATTGCTTTCTACTGATGTAGAGTACATTTCTACTACTCATGTAATATGCAGGTACTCAATGTAAGCTGAAACAAACATTCTTTCCCTTTCATGTTCTACCTTTTCTAACATAATATTGACAAGGGTAGAATGCTGCAAAGTTGAGGATTACTAGCAGCATAAGGTTACTCAGTGGTGAGTGCAGTTTTTCCAGCTTACAATACCCGGCTAGCTTTGCCTGGGAGCCCCTGTCTGCAGCCTGGCCAGCTCAGCTGATGAGGCAGAAGTAGCAGCAGACACTGAATCTGTTCATGGTCCAGCTGATTAAGATCATTCACCAGCATTTTTTCCCCCTTAATACAACAGGCATAAATTTGCAACAGTACAGCAATTACTACATAAATAGCTGAAGCAAACCCAGTATCAAATGAATGCTCTTCCCAAAATCTGTAGGAGCTTTACAATTCTGAAATATCTCAGATTTCAATTGCCTCCAGCTTCAGAAAGTTACTTACAACAGCAACTGCTGAATGAAACAGCGCAAGAGTGATCGCATAAACTTCTGGTTCCTAGTAAATCTGGCTTTCAAAAAAAACTGTTAATTTCTTAATCTGCAGCAGAAAAATCCAAAAGGAGCACAAATCACTCAACAGAGTAGATATTCAGTTCCTGTATTTGTGTTTCATGAACAGTTCTCTCTTCATTTACAAACATATCATTTTACAATTCATGAATACCTTCATAGTCAATCACAAGACTTTGTCATTGCACTTGAAAGTTCTAACATTTTTGCTTCAGAACAACAATTAAATATGAATTTCTTGCACTGACCTGTATCATAAAATCTACACTTGTCCTATCTGCATAAATTAGTGTTCAGAAATCTGATTCACATATGTACAGGTTCACACATGAAATGTTCTTCCAATTCCCCTGTGAAATCACAAATGCACAGCAAACCTCTATCAACGTGGTACGTATTTCCCAAGCTTTTGGTCAAAGACAAAGATCTCTTACCATGTAATGATCCTATAGATATACATGCTTATTTTTCCTAATTGTTTCTTACGCAGCCTAGATCCTTCTGTACTTCAGTTCGGAGCTTTAAAATCAGCTCTGCACCAAAAGACACTATGGACTTAGATACAAAGTGGTAAATTACAAAATCAAAAGCAGTACCTGCCTGGTTATTGTGATTTACTTCAAAAGGGTTGTCTGAAGATCTTGGCTGGCTAGCAAAACAACTTCATATAAGCATCTAAAGTAAGCCAATGTGTGCTCTTAGACTGGCACTACTGTGTAACACAATCCCTCCCGAATTACACAGACATAAATACTGACTTTACTTACATTTATTCAGCAGAGATAAGGGTGTATTCAATTTGTGGTTTGGGGTGCTTTGTTTTGGTTTTATGTGCATACTCTTTTAGAGGGTGCTAAGCCAAGAAGGACTGACACCATGGTCCATGAGCAAAGCTTTTCATCACTCTGCTATGTCACACATGAATTTCAAAATCCTAACCAATTTTCCAAGCATCTCAAATATTTAATTAGTCTCAATCACAGAAGTTCTGCTAGTCAAATGGAATGAACTTTTTAACTAAATTAGGTAATTGTATTGAGTGTTTCAGAGCTCAGGAAACCAAACTCAGATATTTGAAGAGCACACAGAATCAGACTCAAGGAAGGAAGATCCAACAGCAACGTTCACTTAACTCTTTTCCCTGTCTCTGCAAACTGCTGTGTTCTAAAGAATCAAAGCAAGTTTGAGATTGTATAACAGTACTGAATATCACAAATACAGTGATGGCAAAAACATACTCATCTAAGTTAAAATAACCAAAAAATAAAAAACCACCACAATGACTACACTGCACCATAAACTGCAAAGGATAGCTACTATAACAGCAACACAGTAGAGACTAATTGAATATCCATTTTAGCATGAGGCAAAGAGATTATTAAGAACAAAATAAGTAGTACAAACTGCTATTATACTATTAATATATCATCTTCTGACATCTAAACCTCAACAGCAGAAGTCTTCAATGCCATATTTCTATTCCTACCACTATCAAGAAAATTAATCTACATAAATCTTCCATAAAAACCAACAACTAACTGCTCAGATCACAGCTATCTTTATGAAACCAGCATTTACCAAAATATACAAAATAAACAAGGGAATTTCCAAGCTAACATCTTGCAGCGAGTGAACCCTGAATCTGTCACAGTCAATACCACCCTTCCACTTCAGCCCATGTCTTCACCCCCATGACCCCATGACAGCATTTCCATGCATGGTGGGAAAACATCATGTTTAATGCATGGCTTCAATCAATGGATTTATGCAAAACTGACACACAGGACCACTTACAAAAAAGACAAAAAAATATACCAAATCAGCCTTTTAGTGCATATTTAAGTGAAAATTCGAAATTATATATACAAAAATTATTTTACATAGTGTAAATTAAAGACACTACTTTGATATTTTAGCTAATTTCCCTAAGTGACTACTTATTTCTTAGACTGTCACTTCTACAATTTACAAAATCAATTAAACAAAGAGAAAGAAGAAACTCCTAGCTCAGCAAATGAATGTCCTAGGTCCTTGCTTTAAGTTATAGCTAACTCAAAATCCTTCACTACACAAGCTGGATTTCCATTGCAGAATTTCAGATTTTTCCCCCCATAAAAGGCTACTATAAAGCTTCATGCTATCACAGGTTTTATTACATAGCTATATAATTTCAGGAAGTCATTACAGTCATGCTTCCAGGCTAATCAAAAATACACTATTTAGAAGTCTTTGCAAACTATTTTCCTCATATTCCAGATCAGGCTGTAAATACTTAATACATTCCCCAGATTTTGTTACATCCAAGGGTTTAGTCTTTTATGCTAAAATACTTTTTGACAACTGTTTACATCAGAGACATCGGCTTTTTTCCCCAATAATTCAGGGCTATGGAGACTGATCAGCAGTTTTGGCTAAACCTAACCTAACAGTGTATTACAGACAGCTTATTACAAGCATGTGTAGAAGTACTGCAATACTCCTAGAAAGAGTGAACAAGGGACTCCTAGAAACAGTTAACTTTTGTTAAAAGGTCAACAGTATCATCTAAAAAAATTTCTTAAACTCGCACTAGAAAATATAAGGATGACACTCAAAGACACTGAAAAATACGTGTTTTACAAATACTCTCATTTGTGGCGTTTATATTTGCTGATATTACAAACCTCTCAAAACCAGCGTGATTCTGCCCTTCCCATTTCCCTCTCTCTGCCCTCCCCCACCAAATAAAGATAAATAAGAGAACTTCATCTGCACTGCACATTTACCAGTCATTCTCAGCCTACAGGCATGAATTTCCCAAGGGGTATGACAAGCCAGGAGACAGATCTCGTGATTTAAGGAAATCCAACAGCACTGCAAAACACTTTATTTCTAACATCTGGGAACAATTTAAAGAAGGAGCCAGAAACCTGACAGTATGGGAGAGCACATGACAGTTTCCACCCAGACATTAAAACATTCTCCTCTAACAGTTACACATTG